GACAGAGACCATATGTGGCCTGCAAAACCTATGTAACATTTACTATTTGGCCCTTCACAGAGAAAATTTGCTGGCCCTACTTCTAAACTATCAAAAATCCTTAATCTGCCTTAGCCTAATGTTTTGTCACTAGTGTTAAGGGCCACACAATCACCTCCTCAGAGCTCATACAGATTTTCTCTCCAGGACGTCATTACAGGATGTCCTATGTGATTGAGAATAACTCCACCAATCACTGTATTTTGTTGCAGGCAGATCTAGTCAAAAGCTATCAGAAGCTAATCTAGTGTACTACCAGATGCCCAACATGTACAAGCCACCTTTCCAAAGGAGACGTCATCCAAACCTTTATATGACTTCTAACTCAGGGACCAGCTTCATTAGAAAAGATACCAGCGTGTGTTAAATTGCAAAATGGCCACAAATTCTTCCCATCTCACATTCATGCTCCTTTGCATGTGACTGTATATCCTTCCAGCAAGATGAAGTCTATGTCTCTACTCTTTGAGTCCAGGCTTGACTTGTGATTTGCCTTGGCCAACAAGGCATTACCAACATGACATAAGCAGAGGCTTGACAACTGCTTGCCCATTGGAGCTTGCCCTCTCTTGCTGCTCTTAGGGAACTTCAACCAACATCATGTGAATGAGCTTGGGCTAGCCTGCTAGATGATGAGACACATAGCCCAGTTACTGCCATTGCCTGCCAACAGGCAGCAGACCAGATATGTGAATGAGGCCATCAACTACCAATTGACTGTAAATGCACATCTAAGGCCAGAGAACATCATAAAGGGCAGAACAAAACTGTCCTAGCCCAGCCAAACTACTCATCCAGAGAATCGTGAATAAATAAATGGTCGTTCTAAGCCAGCTAGTTTTGGGGTGGTTTGTTTTGCAGAAAATTCTGAGTGATACAGATACAAAAATGCTTTAGAACATTATTGAAAGGAGCCAATTCAGGTCCTCTTGATAACAGCTATAACTGTTCACTCACGGTTTAATACGTCACAATGAAAATGAACTTCTAACTCAGACCAATGGGCTTCCACTCCCAGAAGTGACTCCCAGTTGAGGTTAAACAAAGAAGCTTCTAGAAGTAAATGGCTTCAAGGCACAGCTTATCAGAGAACTTCAGATCAAGCAGACAACTTCAGAAGTGCAAATTCCACCCAAGACAATGAAACAAAAACAGAACTTTTGTTTGTTTTAGGGAGACTGTCCCTGCGCTAACATCTGTGCCAATCTTCCTCTGTGTGTGGGACACCGCCACAGCATGGCTTGATGAGTGCAGTATAGGTCCACGCCTGGGATCCCAACCCACGAACCTCAGGCCACTGAAGCAGAGTGTGGGAACTTAACTACTATGCCACCAGGAAAGCCTCCCAGAACTTTTTGTTATGCTCAAACTGACTGACTTCTTTGTACGATTGTTAGTGTTCCATTTTCTATGACTCTACTTTTCTTCATTTTTTCCCTCCCTTTACTGAAACAAAACCCATTTCCTCTGCCTTGTTTCTAAGAATGAGTCAGACGATGGCCTCATCTTCTAACCTGACCTCTTGCTGGACCTGTTACCCATTTCTAACTCCAGGGGTCACTCAAGTCATGGGAATACCTCTGCTTAAAGCTAGAAACAGCTTCATCCAGGACATGCTCTGAACATCTCTATACTTTCGAACATGCATGAAATATCTTAGACCCAGACACTCAGGCTGGTTGGTATAATTACACAGAATTACATGCAGCCAACATTCTATCTAGAGAGAAAAATCAACCCAATCGTATTTTTAAATAATCCAAGGTGTCTATGGTACTTTCATAATCCATGCAACTACTGAGGAATATGACCAAAGGGAATATAAATACTTACCAAGCTTACCAAGAAATCCCATACAACTATCCTGATGGTAGAAATAGTCCTTTATTACAATTTAATACTTACTCCTAATGTAACACCTTGTGAAGATTAAAAAGGAAAAATATCTGTTCAGAAAAAGCAAGTTACAAAATGTCAACTGAAATAGCTATCACTGTTTGTCATAATAATTCAGGGAAAAAGACCCACACTTTCAACTCTTTACATACAGACCGTGTCAACGGTGCAGCACCTGAGCTGCTCTTTCTCTGTGACCTGTGTCCACCAAGAACTATCCCTGGGGAGTACTTATGTGGTGACGGTCAAGAAATGACGTACAAGTGAAATGTCACATTGATGTAAACTATTATGAACTCAATTAAAAAAAAAAAAACTATCCCTAGGGCTCCCACCAGGTCCTTTGAAGATTTTAAATCCTGTGCAGTATCACCATCTGGGTCTCTTCAGAGGCCTGATAGGACAGACCTCCCAGGAGAAGTTAGAAGGGTCTATTGATTTTCTTGAGGGTTAAGGGTCTCTGAATTTAAGAGATATATCAGTAACTTATCCCTCATTATGGCTGAAATTATAAATGAGACCATTCACAATGTACAGACTCAGCAAAAGAGCTTTGATTTGCTTGCTTTCTTGGTAATTATTAGACCATCACATGGCTTTACAATATTTACTGGCCTCACAAGGGGACATCTGCATTTGGCTAATATTTCCTATTGTTTCTAGGTAAGCACTTTAGTGCAAGAGGAAAAAATGTCTTTAAAAAATAGACATAGGCAGATTACTCTCCGAGGTTTGACAATCTGAGACTTGGAATTCTCCCGGCATGGGTCAAATAAAAAAAAACACTGGGTTCCTGAAGTTTTCTAAACTATAATGATGGAATTTCTATAAGAATTCTGTTTCTTTTTCTCCAACGCATCTTTAAGAGAGTCTTTAAAACTACTGTGCAACTGATGTTTGATGACCAAATGATGATCTATACTAGGAAGAGACTCAATTCCTCGTGGTCAACCTTTGTTCTTCGGGAGGCAGATGACCAAAGCGGGGAGAATCCAGAGCACACTAGATGCCCAACACCCTTCATAGGTAACTTCCGTCACATAGATACACGTATGGGTGCGTGGCAGAAAAGAGGACTTCAGTGGGCTGCTTCTCAGTAACATCACAGAAGTACTACAGATTCTACCCTCCCTTACTGTTCAACCTACTCATCTATAAGGAAATGATAGCATCAGGGCATTTTTTTAAAGATGTTTTTAAAAATGGGTTTTAAAAAATGTTTTTTTTTTTTAATTTTTAAAAAATGTTTTAACTGTAGGGGCTGGCCCCATGGCCGAGTGGTTAAGTTTGCGCGCTCCGTTGCAGGCGGCCCAGTGTTTCGTCAGTTTGAATCCTGGGCACGGACGTGGCACTGCTCATCAAACCACGCTGAGGCAGTGTCCTACATGCCACAATTAGAGGGACCCACAACGAAGAATATACAACTATGTACTGGGGGGCTTTGGGGAGAAAATGGAAAAAAATAAAATCTTTAAAAAAAAAGTTTCAATTGTAGAATTATTCTTGGATTGGGGATGGTAATCTACCATGAACTAAGAAATGCTATTTTATTTATTTTATTAAAAAAGTTTATGTTTTTAATAGAAAAACTATAAGACCGATGTAAACATGTTTAGCATTTAAAAAGAAAAATTATTACGAGACCAGAAATATGCATGTGATAAGAAATGTACTAATGGAATCATCTTCTGAAAATAAAAACACTCAAGATCCTATTAATGTGCACAAAAAAGCAAATTTATTTTAGGATCTATACCAAAGGAACATTTTAAATGCCTGTTACCCTGGGTGAAGTCATGTAAGCCCAGCACAGTGACAACCTTGATCTTGATAGGGTCTACGTCTTAGTAGCATGTCTTGTAAATAGTTCATTCCAGAAATGGCAAATTATAAAATTAAATACAAAATGAAATTCTTTTAAATACAAAATACTGATGAGCAGACACCAAAGTTGTCGTTTTTTTTAAGAAAAGTTCAAGCGCACAATGAATGGAATAAACAAAAAATTATACTTCTATCCTAAAATTAGAAAAGGCAGGTTTTTTACAGTTAGGGGGCAAAAACTACCAACACCTTTAATAAAAGATGCTTTCACTAAAATTAAGAAACATCTTTCCCAAACAGAAAAAGCTCTGAAAACTAGAAACCAAGGGGGATAATGTTTAAAATGAAGCAGCACTTAGAAACACTTCCCCAGCTTTCACCCCATCCAGAGACTTGTAGGAACATCAAAAACAAATTATGATCCACAGAACAGCATTTTTCTTCTACTTGTTTAATGGGAATGATTACAAGCAGATCCGTCCAAAAGGCCACAGCATAGAAAAACAGGTTCTAAAGTGAGACCTAGAGCATGTCAGTAAGCAAACCCCTGAGAGGAGCTTGAGGCGCTGGGACAGAAGAGGAACACGTGTGGAAGCCGAGACTTCTCCAAGTTTCCAAGGTGCTGCAGCTTCTAACTTCGACGAGAAGAGAGCCTCAGACTTTCCCTAAGTCCCCTGGGCAATGGGCCTGGCTAGAAGGTTAAGGAATTCTAAATTGCTCTTCAGTAATTCTCAACCTTGAGTGCAAATTAAAATCACCTGGGAGGGTCTTTGTACTTTTTTAATACCCACGCCTGGGCCCCATCCCAGATCAATTAACTGAGAATCCCTGGGTACGGAAGCCAGGCATTGTCAAAGCTCCCGGAGGTTCTCATGTGCAGCCAGCGCTGAGGCTCACTAAGTGACCTAGAAAAACACTGAGAAAAGTCAAGGTTGACTATAGTTACTGTGTGTTTGAACTCTGGTTGTGACAGAAAAAATTCTTCAGGGAGATAACTTTTTTGCTAATGCTAGGCTGCCCTGCTTCTCATGTGCTCCCCTTCTGGTTAAGAGGCTTAAATCCTTCAAGATAATGACACGCACCATTTCTAGAGCACTTATCTGGTGCCAGGCACTGTGCTGGGCATCATTCCCAACATTATCGATAATCCCCATTATCCTGCAAACCAAGTACTAAACCCATGTACCCAGGCAGCCCCTATCGCAGAGCAAGTAGAAGAAATAGAACATACCTGAGTCTGATTATAAAGCCATGTTTTTATTTTAATTTTATGTATTTATGCCTTGAAAAGTAATCAGTCACATGTTTCACAGGTTTATAAAGTATAAAGGTTTATAAGATATATAAAAAATTAACCTCACTCATAATTTTTTCCTGTCACAACTGTCATTCAAGTACACAGGAGCTACGGTCAACCTCGATTCTCATCACTCAGCCTCTCTCACTGCCCCTCAGGCCCCCTCCCTGGAGACAAAGTTAGTGTTTCTTGTTTATCCTTCCAAAGAGATTTAACGTGTCCATATGCAAATACATGTATGTAAGCATAAGGGTGTAGACACCATATATTTGGACTTCCCTCCACCCTATATTAAACAATGGTGGCATAATTCACGCACTATTTTGCACAAAGCTCCTTTTACTTTAACAATGTAGCTCAGAGATAATTCCCTATCGAGACACAAACATCTTCAAATTCCTTCTGTACCACATAGCATTCCACTGTACAGATACACCAGCACTTTTTTAATCAGTCCTTTACCAACAGGCATTAGATTGTTTCCAATTATTTCCTGTTATAAAAAATTTGGAATGAATAACCTTGAGCAACATATTTCATAACTATGTACAGGTAACTGCATCTGTAGAATAAATTCTTAGACATCAAAGGTCATGCCCTTTCCACTATTCCATGCTGCCTCAGGATTCTAAGAAATAACCCACAGCCAGACTCATGATGATTGACATTTAAATTATTTTATTTAAAAATTTTACCTAAATACCCAAATTATGCTTTTCATTTTAATAAAAACTTAGTAATCATTTTTCAGAATATGCTCAAAGACCAAAATAGTCTGAGAGATGGTTTTATGCCAGAGAAAAATGAGCTCAAAACCAGTGGCACGAATATTTTCCTGGTTCTTGCTTCCCATTCAGAAGGCATCTGCTCCTGAGGACTCTGTGTCCCCCTGGATGGTGCTGGCGCTCTGAGACCGAGAGCACTCCTCCAGGGTCACTGAGGGCAGTGTCACGGACATCCTGGCGGGTGACGCCTGAGAAGTGAAGAGTGGCACGGCTTTACCACCTGAAAAAAGGAGAAACGCATTCAGGTAAAACAGAGGGTCCTGAGTATTTACACGCTTTTGACCTTCCTAAGTAACACGAGGGATCAGAATAAGCACTGCGTACAAGGCAATTTCTTTTCTCAAGGTGCTCAGAACTTGTCACAGAGATAAAACACATCCTTCCTGCTTTCCACTCCCACCCACAGACAATTAAAGACAACAGTTAAAAAGGATATGCTATGATCTGAATGTCTCTGTGCCCCCCAAATCCATATATTGAAACCCTAATGCCTGGTGCGATGGTCCTAGGAGGGGTGTCCTTTGGAGAGTGCTGGGGTCATGAGGGTGGAGCCCTCCTGAATGGGGTTGGTGCCCTGAGAAAAGAGGCCCCAGAGAGCTTGAGAGCCCCTTCACCATGTGAAGACACAGTGAGAAGGTGCTGGCTATGAACCAGGAAGATGCGCCTTAATCTTGGACTTTCAGCCTCCAGAACTGTGAGAAATAAATTTCTGCTGTTTATAAGCCACCCAGCCTGTAGTATTTTGTTATAGCAGCCTGAATGGACTAAGAGAATAACAAGTGCCAAAAGTTGTATGGTATGATATGATAAATGCTAGGTAAGTCTGAGTAGAGGAGGGAGTCTGGGATGAAAACTTCATTAATGTGTTAAAAAACCCAGGTTTGACTATATATGGCTCTCTACCTGCCGATACTCTAATTCACTCCTCTCACTTTAAAGCACATTGCCTAAGAATATAAAGAACACTAACTTGGTATTATATAAGACCACAAAAATCCTCATTTCAAATTCTATGTTTTACCATATACACATAAGAATAATAAGCATCTTAAAAACAAATTATCTTAATCTTAAAGACATCTCCGAGTCAAGAATCACAGTATTTTTCTAAAATTCCTTTATATTTTTAAAGCAGTTTCCACAGTAATACAGTGGAATTTTCCATTAAATTTTTATAGAGACCACAGTAAAGGTAGACAGTTCCGGAGCTTTCGATGATGACTCAATCACAGCTGTCCCAGATGATCAGAATATTTGTAAAAGGCAAATTCCTTTCATATTAGGAAGTCTAACAGACTAATATTATACCATTCCTTTTTGTTACTTGTATCAATTCCTTTTTTAATAAAAGAGGGAAGGGAAATAAGCTTCGGCATCATTTTAGCAACATCACAATCTGCAATACCACAGTATAATCCTTTAAGAAGAAAGTAATTCTTTTTTTTTTCCCTTTTTCTCCCCAAAGCCCCCCAGTACATAGTTGTGTATTTTTAGTTGTGGGTCCTTCTAGTTGTGCTATGTGGGACGCTGCCTCAGCATGGCTTGACGGTCGAAACCCTGGGCCACCAAAGTAGAGCACGCGAACTTAACCACTCAGCCACGGGGCCGGCCCCGAAAGTAATTCTTACGTCAACTTAAATAGAATAAGTATTTTAAATAGGAAAAGACTTTTTGAAATTTAGCTCTGTCAGGATATGTTAAAAACTAAAATTAAGAAACAATAAGAACTGCCTTAGGAAAAATCTTTATAAGACATAAGCATTATTTAAATATTCCCACATTTTACAAAGCCATGATGCCAAGTACACAAAATAACCAAGAGAAGCATCCAAGATCAAAGCTGACCCTGCCAGTCAAAACTGACACAGGGTATTAACTAAGGCTGAGAGCAAAATTAATTTTCAACCGATAAAATCAATTCAGTGTTCCCTTCCCTCGAATATTAAGAAAAAGTCCATTCCTTGAGTTACCCACATATTGTCAAAAACCAGGCTGATAGCAGACATTATTCTTTTTTCAGCTAATTTCACAAAACTGCTTCCCTATGTATCTTCATTTTCTACTATGTGCATTAAATTATTGATCAAACTGCTCAATGACATAACAAGACCTATAACTTTCTTTTCGGATCTTGAAGAAGTTTCCACGTCTCAAGAAATATAGTAAGTTCAATTATTGTAAAGTTATGCTATTTCTTGTAGTTACTGTCTTATATTTATACAGCAATTAAAATTTTGCAAAGATCTTTCCCCCATCATCTTAATCTCATCCTAACAGTAATTCTGGGAGACAAACAAGGTAACTGAGACGCAGAATCATTAAAGTGGGCTTTTTCCAGAAGCGTATGCTCACTAACTAAACACCTATACGAGGCTGCTGCACATATGGAGCTAAGATGGTGCCAAGAGGACATACGGATAAAAGAAAATAGTCCTCATCTTCAAGAAACTCAAAACCTACATAAACATGTACAGGAATATTTAGTTTAAATGAGGTGGAAGTAGCGGTGAGATGGGACTTAAAAGATGTGAAAGGGAATGAAGAGAGCAACAAAATAAAGCCAAGATAAAGTTCAATGTTAAGGGAACGCTGAGTATTCTGATATCAAAGTATTGGCTGGATAAGAGGAACAATGAGAGAGACAAGGCCCTAAGGAAGGTCAGGGTCAAGTTCTGTAAACAATGATGAGTCACAAAACATTCTGAACAGAGGAGTAATATGAGCAAATGTATTTTAGAAAAAAGAGTTGTAATAGCTGTGTGGGAAATAAGGAGAGAGGCGGGGATCTATGGGAACGGTCCACGCGAGAACTGATGATGCCTGGCACACGAAATAGATTGCAGATATTTTGGAGGAAGACTCAGTCTTCTAAAGAACTGAGTATGGCTCTGAAATGACAGGTTTAGTTGACTGAGTGGGCATTAACAGAACACAAACAAGCTTGAGGCTGCGGTGGTGCAGCAAGCTGGGGAGACGCTGGGACTAGCCATGTATCTGATGAATGCGAATGCCTGCCAGCTGTGTGAGTGCACCTTTCCAGCAGGTAACGAGGGTCAAAGATGTCAAAGACGGCGGGGCAGTTTTCCAGATACAGAATTAGCGGTCATCTACACAGCTACAATGATGAGAGCAGTAAGAACAGTGATCACCTGGGGAGAGAAAATAGCCTGAGAAGGCAAATAATGACAAAGAAAGGTGAGGGGAAGGATAATAAATGGTGAATAAAGAGAAAATAAAGGGAAACAAAGGGAAGTGCCAGAAAGATAAGTAGGAAGAGACCCAAGAGTGAAGAGTCACACAAGGTAAGAGATGGCTTTCAAGAAAGAAGAGTCTACCATCATCATTAAAGGAAACATAAATTTCCTATCTCTATTAAATGCAGTTTGACACTTTTCAAGTTTGACTTTTTTAATTTCCACAATCATGTCATTACTCTACAATGTAACTGTTTCAACAGCTGTTTTCAGGTTTGTTTAAAAAAAGAGATTCTTCCTTGATTCCACGGGTTTACAGTGCATCATCTAACCAGGCATGCATTTAAGCCGGGGTGCCATCAAGCGAGACCACACATTTGAAGGTTCTGAAGACATATTCGAATGTATTTTTTAGACATTTGAAATTCAAATTTTTTTGCTTTAAAAATATTAAAATCCATAAAGAAATTTTGTTTTCTGTTCTTTGATGTTGGATTTATGACTAAAGAAGAGAAAAGCTAAAAATTTATTCTAAGTAATAATATAGGATTTTCAATATCCATTTAAGATTTTGCCTGTATATTGTATGTATATTTTCCAAAATATACATAACTAAAAGCTTTTCAGGGTTAGATAATCCATTCCATCAGTAGGTTTAGACTCTGACTCTAATCCTCAAACACTTGGTAACCCATTTTTATATCTGTTATTTGCAAACTGAGAGGAAGCCAAACAAAGCATTCTCTTCTAAAACAACATGAGACAGGCAGAGAAAAGAAGAAAGCTTCCTTGGTAGCTTCACAGAAGAGTACAGCATCTCAGACTCCTCATTCAAGGTAAGTAACTGCACTTGGCCCAGGCCATACAGACAGATTTGTGGTATTCTCCTATGAGATGATGAATAGATAGTAGAATAACTTTAAATTGCCTGAATTTTGTTTTTTCTACAGGCAGATAAAGATTGGCTTCTTTCTTTCTTTTTTTTTTTTTGCTGAGGAAGATTCACCTGAGCTAACATCTGCTGTCACTCTTCCTATTTTTGTATGTGAGCTGCCACCACAGCATGGCCACTGACAGGACGAGTGGTGTAGGCCCAGGGCCAGGAACCAAACCTGGGCTGCTGAAGTGGAGAGCACCAAACTTAACCTACTAGGCCACTGGGGCTGGCCCAAGATTGGTTTCTTATAAACTGCACATTTAAAACAAAATTAAAAGGAAACAAATGTAAAAGTCTTTAATCCCAGTATATGAAGGCTCTTATCCAGAGTCCCTGGATGTGTGACCTAGAGATCTGTGAATATCCTGAAAGGTTATGCAAACTATTTTCATATAAGTATAGTTTGGGAGGGAGACAGGCAATCATAGCTCTCAGTGCCTTAAAGGAGACTGTGGCCCCCCAATTTTTTTTTTTTTTTGGAGGAAGATTAGCCCTGAGCTAACTACTCCCAGTCCTCCTCCCTTTGCCGAGGAAGCCCGGCCCCAAGCCAGCATCCACGCCCATCCTCCTCCACCCCATATGTGGGATGTCTACCACAGCATGGCCCGCCAAGCGGTGCCATGTCTGCACCCGGGATCCGAACCGGCGAACCCCAGGCCGCCAAGAAGCAGAATGTGTGAACTTAACCGCTGCACCACTGGGCCGGCCCCTGTGGCCCCCAAATATTTAAGAATTACTGATTTAAAGGATCTCCCAGCCCCAGGTGCAAGTGAATCCCATTCTCTGAGCTGTTCTTCCAGCAGGGGAGGTGGAATACAGGAGGAGCTCCTCTCCTGTGAACTGCGGATGCCTTATTTTCCGAAGGCAACTATACCACAGTGTTTACCAAACTGCACTGTAATTATCTGTTATGTGCCTGTCACTTCCACTGGACAATACGTTCCTTAAAAGCATGGACTGGGACGTACAGCCTGTCTCCTGCGTGACTAGCACAGTAGGTACACAATAAGTATCTGTGACCTTATCAGCTTGTATTATCGTTATTTGCTTACTTACTCTGTGTTCTACAAAGCTGTAGCATAATGCTAGGCACACAGCGGACCTTGAAATGACTGCTGAACCAAACGCCTCTGTCTGTCTGTGGGTCCTCATGGCCAACAGCTTGCTTAGATTCACGATGACCAGATCCTTGTCTTTAAAATCAGCCCTAAGTTCCAGCGAAGCAGTTGCTTCCCAGCTGTCTATGAAAATGTTGCAGTGTTTCAGCTGTGTTTCATTGAGTTCTTGAAGCACTTTCCCCGTCCACCCTGGGCCCAGCTATTCTTGCTTTAATTCCTTGTTGCAGCAGCTGCGAAACTCTCCTGCTGTACTCAATTCTCACATTCTTAACCCAGCCCTGCAGATTTTGCAACATCACAGCTTCAGTGCTTGGGAAGAAATGCTACAAGTCTTGATGAAGAAGGTGCCTGGTCAGTTGATGTTAAGTGTAGTATGTAATAGTTTATTCCCCTCGGTTTCCCAGAATTAGTCACTATTAAACATTTCTTTCCTTACTTTCCTATTTAAAAGGGTGACTTAAAATGTTACTAGTCTCATCCCAAAATATGTTCTAGACATATAAATCCTATTACATTTTTCAAGTTTACTATTGCTTCTGTTTTTTGAGTTGACAAATGCTTATTTTAAAATTTATAATTTAAGATAAAAATAAAAGCAGAAAGAATAAATGTCTCAGCACCTGTAAAAACAACTCCAATTCGTTTTCCTCTAAAAAGCAACAGTTAATGTGAAAGATCTGTTTCGTCTTACGCCAGGTTCCAGCTGCTTCACTTTGTTTAAAACTGACTTCAAAGTTTAAACACTGTCCTGTCCCAACAAATAACCTCCCCCAGATGGAATTATCTCGAGCTCTAGCCTCAGCGCTCTACATACCACACCTGCAGTCTTTTAATTCAACATTTTATAAACTTTTCAAAGGGAAATGATAGATTCTTTTCTGTCCCCTACCTTCTGGAGAGGTGAGTTCAGTGTGGGAAGGGACTTCTCTGTCTGGAATGAGTTTACAGATATTTTAGAAGAAAAGATTGGAATTACCATCTCTACTGCGCTGATTATTATGAGAGAAAGAAATCAGAAGGAAATGACAAAATCTGAATAGCTCTAAGTCCAACAACTTTTAAAGTCAGAATCTTACCTGTAAATACAGATGTGAGGTACAGATTGGGCTCAATTTGTGTCCGATCCATATCACCTGGTAAAGAAATTACAGTCAGAAAAATGTTTCCACTAGAAAATCAGCTGAGCATAGAAACAGTCATGACTCATTCCTATTCACTAAAAGGAGCACAAACCAAATGCACTCCCACAGTTACTCTCATAAAACCAGGTAAACAGAAGCCTGATCTAGTGGCCTTAAGGTAAAGAAGGAAGTTAAACAGCTGCATTTTAATGACTGTCAATAGAATAATACTTTACCTAATAGATTATTATCTTTATGCATCAAAGATTAGGGAAAGGGGAAGCAAAGGATCATGAGAGAACTTGAAATTTCTATTACACAAAAGAAACTCACGGGCCATTTCTTCCAAGGCTACAAGTGTTCAGATTCTCTTACTTAAGGATTTAATCACCGCAAAAATAAATTGAGAACTTCCCTTCTCCCGGGCCAGCCTGGGGCATACTCTACAACACAACCTCTGTGAAACAACCTATAACGTTGTCAGGGAGCACAGAGGAGCACTACGGTGCAAGCCAAGGCCAAATCTTAATAGTAAAATGAAACAGGCTGGGGACAAACTCTCTTTATGGCTAGAAAATTATGACGCAGAGAAAAGTTAAACCACCAAAGAGAGAAACCTGTGGTACGTATAGTTCTCAGGCCAACAAGATACCCACACGCCCCTGCTGACGACACGCTGTTAACGTGTGCTCTGAAATATAGTCAGTCACTGTCAATAAACATCGCTTCAAACAAATTCTTAGGGCAGAAGGATTTGGAAAAAATTCAAATATGGTATAATCAGTATTTTCAGATTTTCTCTAAGATAAAAATCAGTCATCTCCTAAGATTCCTTTATTTCACAAAAATTTCAGAGGGAACTAAAAGAAGATAATTAAATGAATGTGATTTTAAGTGTTACATATTTATTAAACCAAGCCATATATTCTCACTGGTGACAAACATTCATGTTAAACTACAGTAATTATACTGTAGGAAACATAAAAGTTAAATATGTTAAAAAATTACATGCAATACAGCTTTAAAAGAATAGTTTTAAAAGAAAATATAGTTTTAGAAGGGTAAGATTGTGGGTGAATACAAGTTACTTACATACTGATAATCTGCAAATAAACCGAAATTGAACATCTGACTTTGATACCATCTTTTAAAAATCCTCAAATGCACTGGAAGCGCCCGCCATGATGTTCCTGTTGAACGCTATGCGTGCTTCCCGCTGTACCTCTAAGTTTCCGAGTTAGAGGCAGAGAGAAGTCACTGCTCGGCCCCCTGGCCTGTCAGAGCTGCCTTGCAGAACGTGCACGGTGCCTCAGTACCAACAGGAAACGGAGGCACCAGACCACCTCAGGGCCCTTCCACTGAAGAGCCATTTGCCTGCAAGCAGAATTGAGGGGCAGTCTTCTCTGAAGTGGGTGCCTCACAGCCCAGAATTCAGACTTACCTATTGTGTTACGGTAAGAAATAAGCAACATCATCCCCTTTCATACCAAATAAACTGAGTGGAAACTAAGAAAAAAGAAAACCCACCCTATGGCTAACTAGGGTTCAATAAAAACAAGTTTTTTTAAAGTACTTTTTATGTTTCCAACATTATTACACTAAGTGTTGTGAAGACCACAAAGGAGAGTAAGACATTGTCTCAATCCTCTTTAACTGGAAAGACAAAACGTACACACAGGAGACTGACAGTAGAGAGCAAATCTCCCAAAATAACCCTCCTGCCACCTCAAGATAAGGGATTTAAAGGCTAAGGACTAACCGAGCTCTCTGCCTTTTAATATTACAGCACTTCTGTCTGCTAATGTGCCATTTGCATAACTCGGAATTCTTCTATTCCTGGTAATTTTTCTTTTCCTCTTCTTGTGCAACTGCCTTCTTTTTTCTTCTCTTTAAGGTGCTATATATTAGACCTGGACGGCTTTGGAGAAAGGAGCTGTGAAAACTTCTCTCAACCAGTGAGTTTCAGCAGAGGCTTGGGGTGGGGAGAGGAGAAAGTTGGAATGACTTTGGGGACTTTTTCAAGTTGACAGGGGCTCCCTTCTCTTCTGACAGGGCCACACTCCAAAGGGGGTGCACGTGCACCCCAAAAGGGAGTTGCTGCTACAAAGAAACATTCTTCTAAATTCATAACAACCTAAATGTGAATTTTATACACTTCATTTTCTTTGCAATAAGCAAATGGAGCATGTTTTCTCTAATATCCAGATTTTTTGCTTGATAAAACTCTCAAAAACATCATCTTATTTCTGCTTTATTAAAAAACTGAATTTTAACTCAAAAAATGACAACTATTTTTCATTACTCCAAACCAAAGCATACTTTAGTCATCTCTTTATATCCAACAAAGCTACATTATTAATAAAAACTTCCAAGTTGAAACAACATACAAAATCTGTTGTTTTTAAGATATGTCTTAATAAACTACATAGGCTGAAGTAAAATTCCTGCCATGCAGGATTTTCTTAAAGGACAAGAAAATAAATGGTTTCCTTCCATTATCCTTCATTTTCCGTAAGATGTCTAATTCAATTCTTTGTATATAGTTGATCAAGAAATATCCAACTGACCAATGTTTCTGAAACCTTTACGTCACACAGAAAGACTACCGTGATCATTTTTTAGAAAAAAGGCCCAGCTTTTTCTATTCATTCTATACTGTGGTATATAAGATAAAAAAATTGTGAAGTAAATGACAAGCAGACATTCTATTACAGAGGCAGCCGTAAGCTGGTGGCTCGGAGCACAGAGTTGGAAGCTAAGCTGCCTGAGGGCAGACCACAGACCCACACAGGAGCTGTGAGGCCTGGAAACACCGCCACTTTGAGCTTCAATTTCCTCTTCTGCCTCATAGGTTTTTCATGATCACACTATACATGTAAATAACAGAGCAGTGCCTACAGAGTAGGCATCAATAAATGGTAATTTTATTTTTATTTAGCCTGTGATTATTTTCTAACTTTTCCCAATTGAAAAAGAAATCGTTCTCGTTAGGCAATCTTTTCAAAATACTCTTTGACAGGAAGACTTTTTGTTTAAGAAAAAGAAAAAAAACCCGATCACATATTACAGCAGTAGAGCTACCAGGGATCTCCGAGATCATTTACCCGTATTAATACGGAAATCGAGATTTGGAAAGGTTAACTGACAAAGAAATCGATGTCACCGATTAGCAGTAGGAACTACAACCCACAGCAAACAGCCCCTCCCCCAACTTTTTCACACTCTTCTAAGATGTGTTGTCAGATACTGAGACTTGAAAGAACAATCAGAAATTATCTGTTCTGCTTTTTAAAAAATTTATCAAGGAAGGAAACGTAGTATAATGTTTAAGAGCATAGTTTTTGCTTTCAGAGTTGGACTTGGTTTGACTCCCATCTCTGTCATTTATTAGCTATGTGACCTTGGGCAAAATACATAACCTCTCTGAGCCTCAGGTTCCTCAAATGTAAAATGAGAATACCATTACCTACCTAATTGGGTTGACTAAGGATCTTCGCAGAGCAGGTCACATGTGGGAAGTATACACAGACGGAGCTAGTCATATTGTTGTTGCTGTTATTTAAACATAAACAAACCTCTCCTTCCCTAAACTGGGGGAGAATCTCGATTTCTCCTGACAGTAAAAACAAAGCCACTACATCAATATCCAAGTTGACTCTTGTCATTTACTCCTGCGGCAAGTAGCGGCTCGGCGTCGCCGTGGACACTGCGGGCACCTGGGGCTGAGTCCCACGCTCTGGGCGAGGCTCCCAGCCACAAGCACAGCCCACGGCCCGGAGCACGGCCTGAGCGCCGCCCAGCGCCTCTGTGCAGTCTTACAGTTCTTCGTCCTGCTGCTCAAAATCGAGGAAACTCAAGCTTCATCGGTATTTAAGTCAAAGGACAAGAAGAGAAATTTCTAAATATTTGATCTATAAATTTCTATGGAAATGAGTGGGTAATACTGACTAAAAATTGAGTCATAAATTACCTACGAATATAATTTATCCTTCTACCTTTACCACAAAAGGCGAATGTGTTTACTTTTATTTAAACGTTTAAAGACACAACAAAATAAAAACAAGTGATCTCAAATTTGGAAGCAGCCCCACGGCGGGGAAAGCAGGGTGCTCCTGAGAGATCTCTGAGCAAGGGCACACGGGTCCCGGGACCTCACCACTAGCACACTGCGCTTCGTCCCAACACCCACCTCATCTCAGCACTTTAGCTTTTTACGTTAAACAGTCATTCAAAGTCTTGGAGCTATACGGTGCCAATTTGAAAGTAAGCCATGTTGTACTATTTCAAAAAGTAGTATTTAAAAGGATAGGAACCTCAGCTTTAAGACATTTGTACTCTTGTATTTAAAATTTTTTTATTTTTGGTTTGGAAGTTTATATTCTGCTCTTTAAGACTACCTTTAGTAAGAATCACTAGTATAGCAATACTTAAATCTGTAAATCGTCATATAATTGTGTTAAACAAATTCTTTATGGATTTATTTAAGAAAAAATGTGTAGTACTATAGGGCTGTTATTCGAAAAACAACGATATAAAGATGAAAGCCACCAAAACATGAGCTTTGTAAACCACAAAGGAAGAGTTTTTAAATGGGTGACATCCAGAATTTCAAACAAAATCTAAGAAGAAGAAATCTACAACTGGTAACATTCAAAATAGCGGGATCACTTGTACTAATTTGAGTTCACTACAAAAAAAAGGGGGGGATATTAGGAATATTATTAGAATAGCTAAAAACATATAAAAAGAAGTTAACACCTTTTAAACAAATAATTTAGCCACATTAAATTACTCACTGGCTGCATATCTATCTAATAGGTATACAACTCTCTCCAGTAATAGCATTTTCAGAAATAGTATCTTGGCAGCATAAAAGCTTATATTCAACTGCCAAGAAACTGATTGGTAATTCAGAAAATAGAGGACCCATCTATGCGGAATGCAGACCATGATTTATTTGAATAATGTACATTCAATTACTAAAGCTCATTACAAACCATTTAAGTGCGTGG